TTCAGCAAACATTTTTCTAGTGCCCCCTGATGGCGATGTCCAGCGCTAGAGGCTGAAGCAATGAAATGAAAGAAAAAAATAAAGATCCTCTCCTATAGGACTGTAGAATTCGGTGAGAAAGGTGTAAAAAGTGGTGCACAGAAACATATTGCTAAGTTTTAAATACGTGCTGTTCAAAGGGAAGTATGTGAAAGAGGATCACAGGGCAAGGAGCGCCTACTATTTAACTAATTGCCTTTCAACTGGTGGGACAGTTTGGAGTTGAGGTGGTCTGAACTTAAAAGAGGTGCTGTGCCAGTCACTTGCCTGTGTTTTCTCAAGTTCATTCCCCTTCCCCCCTATTCTGCTTTGTACTTCAGGAAACTACATTTCCCAGGGTCCACTGCCCACTGGCTTATGGATGGGTTTGGCCAATGGGAAGCTTCGGCTGAAGATGGGAAGGCCAGCGCGAGGGGAATAAGTGTCCTCTCTCCATCTTCTTTGCTTGCGCTATGGCTGTGGCTCCTCTGTGTTTCCAGAAAGTGCCAGCCATGTCCTCCATGATTTCAGTGTCAAGCTGGTGGTCCTGGTCCTGGGCTGTAGGAATCCCTGTGTCCTTCCAGCCTAGGCAAGGTAGAGGCTTCCTATTGATGCTAATCTTGGCCTTGCCTTGCTTTCTCCTATTTGGCATCTTGGCTCTTCAGTTACTCATGCAAACAAATTTCCTGTCCTCAGTTTGAAATCTCCAGGGGTGATTTTTGTATGACTGCCTGTACCCTCGGGGAAACAGGAGATAAACTCCTGATCGGGAAGTACAGCACAGGCTCTGGCCTGGAAAAGAATCAAGGGGCCCGTGGAAGATTAGCCTGTGGGAAAAGAAAGGTTAAAGGCCACCTAAAAACAACAGGGATTCTCAGGCATGTTGAGGACAATGCTGTTGAGGCAACACCATTCTGAGCCTGGTGGGTCTTTGGAAGGTTAAGAAAGGTTCTGTCTATACAAAATATAAGGGCAAAATGTTGCCTAAGAAGAGATGCCACCCAAGTAAGTAAGCCACAAGGCTGGAGGATTTGGGATCCAGTCCACCTCGTTGTTTTCCATCAGGTTTAAATCAGCTGTCGAGGCCTCTCAGGAATGACTCACCCACTGACAATACCAAAACTGGAAGTTATCTTCTTCCTTCAGATTACATGCATGGGGACGCTGAAGCTTTCGTATGTGAAAGTCTTTGATCAAGGTCACACAGCTAGCATAGCCAGGAGGAGAGCTCCACTCTCCTAATTTCAGGGTGGGAGCCTCTTTTATGCTGTCATCTGGGTCTTTACCACTCCCCGGGTTTTTCAGGTCATCGTATCACATGGAGGTTCGCTCCTTCAGTAACTATAAGATTTTAAACAATTTGAATGGGTTTGTCCCATATTAATAAGTTCTAATTTTGAACTGAATATAATGAGCATGTTACGCATTCCAAAGTAACCAGTTTGGAGTGATTTTTAAGTAGAATCATGTACTTTAATAAAGCAACAACAATATATAATCCACTAGAATACAGGTAGAATTTAGGTATTTGTACTCTCCTTCGTTAGCAAAAACGAAAACCAAGCAAGCAAGCAAACAAACAGAAAAACACTTGGAGACTGTGGTATTTAGTCTATTGTCATGTAATTAGCCTTAATAAAAATCCTATAGCTGCAGCACTTGTGTATCAAGACTGAATGTCACAGTTGGGTTCGAGATAAAATACACTCCTTGAGGCCAAGACTTTAGAGACATTATCTGTTTAATAAATATGATTGTAAAAGCAATAAACAAGAGCAATTATACATTACACTACATAGTATTTAACAAAAAAATACATCAAAAAAGTCATTTGAAAATTAGAAGTAGTTCCGATACTATAAGAAAACTTTCTTTTTTTTTT